TACCAGGATTCAACTTAAGTCTCACATATGATAGAGGTCTTGGCTTCGAATCTTGGGGGACGCGTCAGAAAGCTGTGAGGGGATAAGTGGGCAGAAGCCCACCCCAGAGCGGACAGTACGTAAGATAACGGCTTCGGTGAAAGGCCGGGTTGTTACAAAAAAACGCGCATTTTTTATCATAAAAGAACACTCTCAAACTTATTTCTCTCGGTACTTCCATAGAAAACTTTCAAAGCATACCCCAACAACTCCAACTTCACATACATATCAACCAAAGGGAAATTCGTCTATGTTTTACTATTATTATTTACTTTTAGATCACTCATATATGTTGGTGAAATTGATGATAAAACCCCCATTCTATTTGATTGTCCATAGAGTTGATTCAGCCATCTCATTCTAGATCTGCATTTGACTAAAGAAAAATATTCCCAACCACTTCCTGTCCTGCCAACAAGAACTCCTTTGGGATGATTAAATTTCCCAACCAATTTTCAGTGTTGGGATGATTAAATTATATCATAATAGTTGCAATTGGGGAAATTTCTTGCATGTAAGTCTCTTTCTTTTTAGTTCCAGAATTCAACGAACAACCAAGTGCATTCAGGCTTATTTCAAGGAAGGCCTCGTACTTCGTCCATGATGGATTTTCTTGTCTCTCTCTTAGTTACCATTATTACACACCATTTTCTTACCTTCATTTACACTCTAAAATAGACAATTTGCTCCAACATACTGGAAATCTAGATTGTAAAGCTCGAGTGATGAACTTCAAACCACCAATTAATTTTCAAATAGGTCAAATATAAATTATAGTACTATGCTAAATACTAACTAAATATATAAAGGCAGCACTTTCAAGTTTGAAGATATTCCAGTCCAGTTATCAAATGCGTTCTCAATTATTCAATTTTATAAGTAGCCAATGAGACAGAAACCCCCATGTTTTCTATAGAACTCAACCTATCAAATGCTCACTCCACCACACAACACCCCCCATGTTTTCTATAGTTTCGAGACTCAGACAGTAAGACAGANCAAATGCTCACTCCACCACACAAAACCCCCCATGTTTTCTATAGTTTCGAGACTCAGACAGTAAGACAGAGTCACAGAGGTCAGTAGCCCACAGCACAAAGCCTTATTTCGAGAAGAACCCACCTCTCTTCGAGACCATTACCTTATTTACCAACAAATAACAATCGGTTTCTTGACTTCTTCAGACTTCATACACAAAATATACATCAAAGAGAAAGAAAAAAAAAGCTACAGACTTACTGTAGGTGCTGGCGTGCTGCGGTGCTGAGTGCTAAAGGCTGAAGCCTGGAGCCGGAGGAGGCGCAGACGCTGGACGCAGGCAGAGGGCCAGAGGCGGAGGAGATGCATCCGCGAGGGCTTCATAGTTCACTCCCTTTTAAATTTTTTGGGATTGGGCTTCACTCCTCTTGGGCTGAAAGTTAGTCCATTACTAAAAAAAAGAAAAAATTAGAGGAAATTACACCCTGGCCTGTTTTTAAGTTTTCATTTTCATTAATACATAATGAGGTTTATAAGTTCAGAAATCAGGTTTTTTAAGTAATTAATTATATTTTTAATTAACCTAACAACTACCGCCATTTACGTATAATTGGAGAGAGAGGGCGGTTTAAATATGTAAGGTTATCACTAATAACCGTTTAATTCCCAAACATCACCTCGTTTGGGAAAACTAAACCTCTTATAATCTACCTTCCCGCCGTCCATGCCGTCCCCAAAACCTAATATTTC